TTAATTTTTTATCATACATACAGAAATGTCCGTGTGATCACCTTTCTTGAGGCATAGCATGACAAGTTGCATTATGTTGTTGTTGTACGTTTTTATTTTGTTTATGGTCTTCCGTCACTCTAAAGGGCATCCCGTAATGTGAGGCTAAGACCCCAGCTGAAACCCATCCCTACTGCTTCAGTCTCAGATTTTCGCCAGAGACGACTAATGAGCCAAATAATTGGAGAAAATTAGTTTTAAGTTGAGGTTTTTTTTTTTGTTTTTTTTTTTCCTTTTAAGGATTCAAATAATTGATTTACAAAGCAAAACACAATATTCAACAACGGCACGGGCCCGAATGAAATTCTGTTGGTAAAATAATCATACAAAAAAAAATTATTCAGTTTGACTCTCAGAAGTTGAAATCTCCGAGATTTAACTTTGAAAAGTTAACAGTAAAGTTCCCTGCTGGTGGAAAAGTCAGAGGCTTTTCAGTCCTCAAAAGCCAACAGAGCTGCCACAGTTATTTTAAAATTATGAAGATTTATATCCAGTGAAGTCTTTTCACACACACAACGTCCTTGCAACATAAATTTTTATCCAACGATACACCAACAGGTGCATCGTTTCTTCAGCAGTGGGGATGGGAAAGACAGTAAAAGGTCTTAAAGAAAATTCAGTATTTTACAACCTGAATGTGCAGCTGGTTTCTTTTTAGGTATACCACTCTTAGTGAGTGAAATATTATCAGCCAGAACTATTAAAAAAACAGAGGGGGGGAGGGAAGCTGAATTTTCTTTTAACAATACAAATCTGCAATTGTACTCATGAGCAGCTTCAGCTGGCAGTGAGAACCAGTGAGTTTTATTCATGCTACAAAGGAAAAAAAAAAGGCATTTTGGCATTCTAGCTGTCTTCTTTTCTGACAGAATGCCAGGAAATGTCTGTTACCACTAAAAACCTCTGCTCATCAGAAGCATTCAGCCAAGGCACTTTCACTTGGCAAAAACTTGTGTGCATCTTTCTTTTTTTCCCGCCCCTGTCCTTTCTGAAAAGCAGGCGGTGAACAAAATCATTATATAGGAGCTGTAGGAATAGCACTCACTGCCTCACTGTGACCTCACTCTTTATTTTCCTTGTAACTGCAGTGTTAAGTTCTCCTCTCTTTCCTCTTCTGTTGCTGATTTGTTACCTTCAGCCACTGTGGGTAGATTTTGTAGCGCGTGGAACATCATATTTTACTCATTTGAATTTTAGAGTGGTGGGGAAGAAAAAAATAAACCTCCTGCCCGTTCTGAACATACTTAGACTTGTAAAAAAAAAAAAAGAAAAAAAAGAACTACAAATATTTGCTTTTTTTAAAATCACAAGCAATGTATATATAATAGATTTCCTATAAATTTTTGAAAAGTATATAGATCTATATATGAATGTTTGGCATATATGCATAGTTAACCACCTGTGGAAAAGGTGAGCAGATTTTATTCTTTCTATGAACTCTTGAACTTTTGAACTCTGAACTATGAACTAGGGGATGATTTGCACA